AGGTTTAATGAATGCATGTCTCTACGGAATACGGACCACAGATGAGTACTATGAGAGACGTCTCCAAGTCACAGATAAGAGAAGATGAAGCTCAATGTTCAATCGTAAATAAGTAAGATCCATCTGTCCAATACGAGATCGTGAAGGATCAGTGGTGTTAAAAATCGTTCCCGGATTACCGCCTGTCCTCGTGGAAACCCAAAACCCCATTGCTTAGCTAATGGTAGTGTGTCAAGGTCTTCTAAGGGCTGCATGAACCGATGAGTGCCCATCGGTGCTTCCAGCTCTCATGGGTAGATTGAATGTCCTGGATCGTTAATCAACGTGAAGGATTTATGAACCTCATCACTGGTCACAAGCAATCGATCATCCTGCAATTCTACTGCTCCCTGTCATGTGGGCGGTAGAACCACAAAATAACATTCGATGATACTAAAAATATTATTTCCTATCACGTGATCAACACATTTCCTGAACTTTCAGTGACCTACAACCATCCTGGAGCAGAACATAATAAACTTTTTATTTGTTGAACGCTTGTTGTGTAAACCATGCGATTTACGTTTCGCACACCCCGTTCTCCGAGAGATGTATTCTCAGAAATTAAGGCTGATTTTCAAAAGAAAACACCATATTACAATACTGCACGATTAATGTCAGGAGGATTTCACTACATAAAAACATAAAACGTAAAAATGGGAGAGAGATTAAAGGACCATAAATTTCTTTTTGTTGACAAAGGACTGGGGCCTCCATTGATTATTAGCATTTGCTTCCGCAAACCTTGCGGCTCGTGACTTGTAGACGATTCGAAACGCAGTGTATCGATCGGACTGGTGTTTCGTCATCAGCAAACAAGGGTTGAAGACATAGTCTAGTAGTTTCGTCTGTCGTCTGTGTGCAACGGTCTTGACCTCGATTGCATCAACTGATTTTCGACCCCATTTGGAATACAGGTGTTGATCAAACTCGTGCAACGTCACTCTCATTTTAGCAATACATTCCAGTCTCCAGTATTATACTTGTATATTGATGGCTATGAGTAAAGTGTATTCACTCCTGATTTTATCTTCCAACTATATTTTCTTAGTTCTCCTCTATCACCATTTCAATTTGCCTGACCTTGAGTGATACGATAAAATTTGTAGTAGTTAAAAAGTCACAGCTCGGATTCAGGAAATATTTTAAGCAAAGTAGCATGGAAATTCATTTTACTTAATAAATTATTCCTGTTCCATGAGTGTCTCATGAGAGTTAAGTTGAGCACACTTGTTGGTAGTAAAAAATGGTGAGACCTAATTACATATTATTTTTTCACATT